ACTTGAAGATATTTTTGCTAGCAATTTCTATTTCTTCAGGATAATAAAAAAGTAAATTCTGTGTTGAATTACAAGGACGTCATTTTTCGTTAGTGGACATTCTAGAAGACTATGCCAAACGGGCTACGTACTTTAGGGATCTAGGGATTAGGTTCATCCTATCAGACGTTTCAAAAAATTCCGCTCTTATTGGCCTAGATAAAAATGTTGGTTGAAACGCACTACTAATACTCTTTTATATCCTGAGCCTATTTTCGTATTTCCCGACAGCTAAAGTATTTCAACAGTAATCTATATTTTTCTTTACATACTAATATCTAATTATTTTAAAATTTTTTAACATAAATCAATAGGTATTTGAGTAAAATTTTATTTTATTTCTATTGTGAGTTATTACTGTAATACTTTTAATTATAATGATAAACGATTTGAATCGAACCACTGGCAGGTCGACTGTTGCCTCTTGAAGAGCGCATTATACATTCAAAAATCGGCCGACTGAACAGGAGTTTTAACAATTAAAATTTACATTGTCCGCATGCGACCTATATTAGTGAATCTGTCTTTGTTTATGTATACATGCACATATATGTATGTATGTATATGTGTATATGCTCGTGCATGTCCGTGATATCTAATTGTAATTTGGTCACAATTCTATTAATTTATTATAGAATACAAAACTTACACGAAGAATGCAATTATGGAATGCTTAAGCGCCTGATTTGTTTTTAATTGGTGGCAAAAATATTTTACAGATCTCACTTCTGTTTTTGCAACAAAAGTTAGTTAACATTTTAACATTTTGCCCTGAAAGGTAACAGAGTCTTAGACAAACGAAATAGAAGTTTATCTACCAAATTTCTTATATTCCTTTAAGTATGTCATTGTAGGCTTAGAGAACTCATCGTCCGTAGTAACAGGTTCTTATTAGTATTCCTCTTTTTTTAATTTAAGTTACAAATTGTTTTTGTATTCATGATTATCTATACTTATGTATGCTGTATACCTAAACGAAAAGAAAAAATGTTAACCTTTTTTCGACGCGATCGCTTCGCGAAAGATCAAATGGTAACGTCCTTCTAAAGGCCAAGGTTCAAAGTTAAAAACACTGACCCTGCATACATGTAGATAGTTCTCGTTCGCAATATCTCGAATATGTTCAGTATGGCGTTACTTACTTTTTTAACAAGTCCAAGAAGTATCTTCCAAACTGTATCCATAAAGGCACCACAACACAATATACATGAGCGAATCACTTTCGGAAAATCTTCGATCTACAGCGTCCGCGGTGGATTTCCGTAAACAACGAGAACTCGGTAAAGTCTCACCCACTTGTAGCACTCACTGAAAAGATCGTGTCTTAATAAAACAGAAGAATGTTTTCAGCGTTATTTCCCGTCTACGTCTTTTTTCTCGTGGTGGTTTTCATTGTTTTCCAAAAGTCACAATTCCGGAAGTGTCAGTGACTGGTTTCAGTTGAATATTTCAGAACTGACCCAAATACACAAAAGGATGTTAAGTCATTAATTGATTCAACTAAATGAAATTAACAAAACGACTATTGTCAGAACAAGAACGAACGAAACAACTGAATAAAAAAAAAAATAGATTGAAAGGTTGATTTGCGAAGATGATCGAGAAGAGACCGGATACGACGTTGATGTCAATGTGGATCAATATTCGACGGGGTGTCGAATTTTTCCAAAATTTTGACAGTCCGACTGTAACAGAGAGTTGCGAGGAACTGTTGGCTGCTGTAATGAGACCCTACCACCAGAAATGGGGGCCAGAAACCCCCCGCTTCTTCGTGAATAACTGTACCTGTTGTAAAACCAAAGAGCGAGGTAACCTACATTTTCATCCATACATCGGCATCGTAGTCTACCAGAGACCGTTCTTTCCAAGTCAGATATTGGTCGGTACCGCGGCCGCGGCCACTATGATACAACTAGATTCAGAACCAAAAATATCCACAACTCGGAGCGTTTTATTCATTTCCATATCGATAACGATATCTTATTAGAATAACTGTTAGGCACTGCTATGGCTATAACACAAGATAGGACTACCTGTATAACATATATTTTTGTGATAAAAATTAATCATGACACAATTGATTAAATATACTTCTATTCTTTAGTTTCGGTAGTATCATGACCGTGTTACGTTTTCTTAAATACTTAACTCATGTTAAAAATAAGTATGTATCGGATTCGCCCCTATATTATCTAAAAATCACAAAATGCCATCAAACAACGCTTAGTAAACAACTAAATATAGTAGTTAAGTTTGCGGAAATGGATAAAATTATATTTTGATAAAAAAATTCTCTATTTAAAAAAAAACCTTTCTAATTATTGTCATTTTTAGGACTTCTATATTTTGACCAAATATTTTATTTTTTCACCAATTAAGATATCTTCTTTTTAATTGTCATTCAAAAAGTTAAAACCTCTTGCCTTCAGTTTCCGACCAGAAGTTTCATTATCATCATGTGGTCGTCAGTCCTGAGACTGGTTGGACACGCACTTCCACTCCTTCCTATCCTGAGGTAATCTCTTCGCATTTCCCTAAAACTAGAACAACCCACATCGTTAACTATTTACGAACAGTAATCTAATCTAGGTCTAACTCTACTCCTCTTAGCTCCTGTTTCTGCCTCTAATAGACTAGACTCTGGCTAGACCTTCATATCTGAGAACGTATCTACATGAAGTTTAGACTTGAAGATATTTTTGCTAGCAATTTCTATTTCTTCAGGATAATAAAAAAGTAAATTCTGTGTTGAATTACAAGGACGTCATTTTTCGTTAGTGGACATTCTAGAAGACTATGCCAAACGGGCTACGTACTTTAGGGATCTAGGGATTAGGTTCATCCTATCAGACGTTTCAAAAAATTCCGCTCTTATTGGCCTAGATAAAAATGTTGGTTGAAACGCACTACTAATACTCTTTTATATCCTGAGCCTATTTTCGTATTTCCCGACAGCTAAAGTATTTCAACAGTAATCTATATTTTTCTTTACATCCTATGTCTTTATGTAGCCCTTCATTTTCCTTATTCATATTCTTAGCGCCATTTGTGCTTATTTCAATACCACAGACGTGATTTCTTAATGTATTTTATGTAGGATAAATTCATCACATAATATTGTAATGACTTATTAAAATCCCTAGTAGAATAATTAGAAGGAATGACTATTATTTAGGATTTAATGCATATAAATAATAGTTAAAGGTTTTTGGAGCAACTTTGACCTATAATTACCTCACATTAATTTAACAACGTTCAACTGGCAAGGAATTGTATTAGACATAGAAAATGTAACTTAGCGTCAGAGGGTTAATCATGACACTGTCTATCGTTAACTATATGGGCACAAAATCTTAATAATAATTTACAAATTAAGTAATTTCGTAATAACCTGATCATTTAAAATTTTGACGATGAAATAATTGTTTTGTAATTGGTTTTTGATAATCGTCTAAGCATTAAGCTAATACTAGTAGCACTTAGATGAACATAGTAAGAAAGAACTTTAATTGCAAATAATGTCTAAATGATGTATTAATTACAATCAGTTATATACAGAGATAAAATAATATCGTACATCATTTTATTGTACGACAGTTTTTCATCGCTTTTCCATTTATTGAAGATGAGAAAAGGTCTTGTATATTATGATATTATAAAATTAAAAAAAAGGAAACGATTTGAGGAATGACTAAAGTAGGTAAGAACGATAGTGTAAGTTACAATAGTTTTGAAAATAGAAAGACTTATTATCCTTATCTTTACAAACAAAAATTAAACGAATCAGAAGTTCGGAATTATCTATGAAAATTTGAAATCAGACAACGCATATTAGGGTAAGGAATGACCGAAGGGAGTAAGGACCCCCATATAAGTTACAAAAGTTTTGAAAATAAAAAGGCTCATTATCCTTATCTTTACAAACAAAAACGAATCAGAAGTTCGGAATTATCTACGAAAATTTGAAATAAGAGCAACTGTGACGCTTGTCAAGTTTCTTAAATGTTTTATCTGGACTTTGACTTTATAGTGCTCCACAGTTCTCTACTTGATTTTCTTGTATAATATTTTTTTAACTGTTATCTACTGTTATCTTTCAGTAGCTGCAACATGTAATAAAATGGCAAGTAATTATTACATGTGTATAAATAGAATTTGTAGGTATTATGTGCATTACAAATATGCAACAATACATAGATACTTATACGTGAATGGATAACATATCTTACGATTATTACAGGCGATAGGGCTTGCATGTATGCCTGTACGTATTCGTGGATGTGTATATATGTTCATGTATTGTAATTTGCGTTCGTTTTCAGTTGAGGCCCACATTTTTCCACTTTGGTAATCACGGTTGTGTTATGTTAGCGTTCTTTTTTTTTATAATAATCTTAAGCAAGAACAATCATTCGAGTCTGAAGTATTTCGAAAGCAAGCGCAGTGGCCGTATAGTGGATATTGCCGTAGCTGACGACGACGCGTCCACTCGGTCTGTGTTAACTCACACAGTTCGCGCGGTAAAGTATTTTACTTGGAATTGGTAAATATCTAGACTATTCACTGTCATATTCTTTTGTTACTACATCACACTACGGTATGAATAATGTAGTGCCCCTACAAAGGATGTTCAATCCAAATTAATCTTTGATAACTCAGTCTTGATAAGGCATTAATCTTAATCAACACCATAGATTTATTTGTATTTGGGGTAAGCTAAGAATTGATCTCGAACTTGCGGAGCATGTCCGAACATTTTCGGATTTGAGATCTAGCGAACGAATGATAATTTTGAGAATGAAGAAGATAGGGGCAAAGATATCAAAAAGATAAATCTGAAGAATAAAACAATACTTCAAAAAAGATCTGAAAACCAAATAAAACAAACCAAAAAGTAAAAAACAGAATCCGGTAATAACAATGTCAATGTTAAAAATCCTCGAAGAACTAAACAATAAACTGAATCCAGCAACTCAACAAGCGTTGACGAATAAGTTCGAAACATGTAAATCATATATATGCTATTATACCAGGAATCAAGAAAACGGTAAAGAAAAAGACGAAAAATCGATTGAGTGTAAAGTATACTGAAGATCGTCGGCAGAGATCTTCGATTTTATATAAATTGTTTAGCAATCAAAGGTGGAAGAATTTCAATAGAGGAAGCTTGACTTTGCTTGTATGATTGCAATGACAAACAAACTCTTTTTTAATAGCAAAACAACTCTTCATTTTGCCGATCCTAGCGCTAATTATTACTCAGATCAATAACGTATATTGAAGAAATTTTTGACCAGAGATGCCCATCGCCTGTACCTAGAAGATAACTTCACTTTTCATAAAAACTCAGAACCAACACAAAGTCATGTTTGGAAAAAATGTAAGGAGTTTTAAATATAGGTACTCCTAAAAAAAAAGTAATGCCGAAGAGTTGTGATGGACTATGCCGTATGAAGATGAATGAAAAGAAGACATCAGAGGTGCAAAATTTAAAGATATAATATGAGCTGTGGAAAAAAATTCCTGATGAATTCATCAAAAAATCTGGCCTAATTACCAGAAATGCTCAACCCTGAAATATTTCTCACTGATATCTTAATGTCATATGTACATATTTCCTTATGCTTGTACAATATTTTTATAAAGTTCTTATTTACCAAAATAGAAGGAGGAGACTGTGGTAAATATTAATTAAAAAATTAAAAGGAATACTCACCCCTAATTACCACAAATAATTTTATATGAGCGGACACGTGTTTCGCCCACTTCACACGTGGGCATTATCAACGCGAGAGTTNTTTTACAAAAGGTGATGCAACGCATTGATGATAGCATGTAATGGAATATCCCTATGTTAGATTCTCAGCTCGAAACTAATGTGCATATATAAACAAAGTTTTGAAGTTTTAGGTTTTATTTTCCGTTGAAAAATGGTAATTATTAAATTTTACCGTTACGCAGAGTTAAGTAATCATCGAGAAATATATAAACACAACCAGCGGCTTCTGATTCGAACGGGTATTCCGTGGCATTGCAAGGACAAAGACGGTTCATTGTTTGTGTTTATATATAAGTAAATTATTATTCGTACATTTGTATGTATATGTAAGAATACAAAACGTATACCGACACAAGCTTGAATAAACGCGTTGTATAAACGAATCGGTCCGAAAGCAGCGAAAATAATGACTGCAAGTGTTAGCTGACTGAAATCAGTTCCACAAGCTTTCGAAATCTCGGCTACAATTTTGCAAACA